GTTGAGATCTGGATCTCACTTTCAAGGGGGACCTGGGCAGAGATCTGCAATACATTGCAACCTGGTTACAAAAATAAAACCAATTAATACATATTATGCACAAATATAAAACAATAAAAACAATTTAAAAGCAGCGACACTGTTTCATAGAAGCTTGTTGTCTATGTTTAAGAACCGCTCGAAATAAGTCCAATGAAATAGTGTTTGACATTTTGAGCTCAGACTGGAGCTGATTCCACGCTGTAGGAGCCAACACACTGAATGCTCATAGAACAGCAAACAGGCCATTTTCAGCCCAACAAATGTTACACATCCTATTCAGAGACCTTAAGGACCAAATACCGTATAGAATCCTTCTACGCTTTAAAACAGCGACCTGACCAAGAGGAAGGTAGCATATAAGTCCCATGTATGTCATCTGTTTTGGCAACCTGGGTTATTCCTGTATGATTTTGCTCAGGAATAAGGAATTAAACACAGGCTACACATTTCCCAGGAGTAATTACCCACCAAACATCAGGGTTTGAAAAACTTGACTAAGACATTGTTGATTGAGAGAACCAACTATTTATAGAGAATGTTCATTCTATCCAGCATGAAATAATAGAATGATTAGTGTTAATTATTGTGGTAAATGTCTTAATTATTTCTCCTCTAAGTCATCAGTTAAATATAACCTATTTAGCTGTGCTGCACGGTGGTGCAGAATTTGTAACATGATAGAAATAGACTATAGAATAAACATGGCTGATTGTGAGGGCATTCGTATGTTAATAGAGTGAAGTCTTAGCACGTGTTAAGAAGCACATCTAAGTGTTGCTCCCACAACTAATTATAGCCTTGAAAACAGACACTTAAATGACATGAAGTCACATGTAAAGTAGAGCAACATGCCTTCTCAATAAATGATAGATCTATAACTTTATTTTATTGGAGATTATACTGTTTCAAATATCTAGCTTATATTTTTTCTGTTTAGTAACCTAATAGGTTGCTCCTTTGTTATAATTTATACATACTTTTTACATACATTGAAGTCTATTAACGGTATATTGGAGGATTTTCTCAAATACAAAAAAAAAAACCCTACCCTCTCCAATTAAAAGAAAATGCACATGCATAATGCGTGCGAGAGCATGCCAAGCCCATTTCTCCTCGTGCACGTTCTGTTTAAAAGTTGCTGTTTGCATTACAAGCTTACTTTCCAAAAATAAATGAGCATTTTCTGCAATGGACTGGTGACCTGTCCAGGGTGTACCCCGCCTCTCTCCCGTAAACAGATAGGCACCAGCATCCCTCTCGACCCCAGCTGGGATAAACCCTGACGGAAAATGGATGGATTAGCATTTTTTCCACTATGTCAGATTCACCACCTGTACAGTGGGCACTGGTTGGAAATGGACGGTTTAACTGCGTGATTCCTGCGTGAATCACGATGTATTTCCTGAGGCCAGTTTTTTTTTTATTTAAAAAAGAACTGCAATGTACCCGGACAACCACCAGGTGGCGCTTGGGAGCTCTGCCGTGCTAAAGGTGACTTTATGGGCCTGCAGTCAACTGAAAAGCAGGTTTATTGGGGATCTTGGTGTGATATTGTGCTATTTTCTGATGTTTTTGATTAAAATAAAGTTAATGAATAAATTTAACATAGTGACTGCATTATCTGCATCTCTATTATTTAATGAAAAATAAAATTATTTAAGTTGGAGCCGGGGATACGGACTGAGGCGCAACCAGAGAAAGGCGACAGAGACAGTACTGCGGCTGGTGATTTTGAAATTAAAATCATATCCAAAGTTGATTCCTCATTAAGATAAGCCAAAGTTGTTCAAAACGGTATGTAAGAAAATATATTTTCTTTAGTTTTGTGAAATATAAGTGCCGTTGAAAGCTTTGAGGATCAAAAGTTAAGCTAATCTTTAACTGTGTTCATTAAAATCCATCGAGAGTTTGTGTGCTTGGTCTGTAATAAAAAAAAAAATAGCCATAGTAAAAAACATTTCACGTTCAGACTCACAAAATTAACAGATTTTATCACTTAAACGTTTAGCCTTGATGGGGTTGCGATACATGTACACATGCACCTTAATCCTATTTATCTTGATATACTGTATATACCTGGATATACTCTATATATATTGCTTATTCTTAATGCACCTTTTTCCTCCTTGTTTGCACCTTCTGTAACTTCTATGCCAATATGTGACGAGTGAATCGGGACGAGAACGTAGGACGGCCTTATGTCACCAGAATGACTGATAATTAGGAGGACCACTTATTTTGATGATCCATCCGGATAAACAACATCCTCCACTATACCTTTAATGTGTGAGAAAACATTATTAAGTCACTATAGAACAATCAGGCACAATACCTTGTTAACACATAATGATGCACTTTCCTTTTCACAGAAACAAGGCTGTTAAAAATAACCCTTCATGTTATGAAAATAGCCT